TTTGACATACTCTTTACGTTCAAGGTTAAAATATTTATTTACACGGCTATCAAGAATTTTAATATTGACGTCGTAATTTAAGCGCTTCTGGTAAGGATGAAAAATTATATAGTTAGTTTTCTTGACATTAGTATTTCAGTGATCGGAACGCTATTTTTGATTCACAATGAGCGACCTGAGGTAACCAGTTGTCCAACGATGTTAACTATAAAAGAATAAGTCTGAGAAAGGTTTTCCTCAGACTTTCAGGGTGAAGGGGGGAGGGCAAGAGAAGTGAGGAGTCTGGATTCAACCCAAGGATATTCTCAGATATTCTGAGACAAAACCTGTTATTTTCAGCAGCTGTTTATTCTAATGCTATACTTATTTTATGATAATGAAAAGTTCATATATTTGAACCGGAGGAGAAATATTTAACAAGATAACTTAATTATAAGCAATAATGAAAAGAAAGCCTGCAAAAAACGGAGATTTTGCCAGAATTTGGGTGTCCGTTGGTTGGTGCGATGACGAGATATGACGTGAGGTCAAATCATGCATTTATGCGCAAACTAGGCTTTTAAAAACTTTGAAAATACATAGCAATATCAAGATGCATGCATGACAGCCAAAGTGAATGACGTCACAGATCCTAGGCCCGTTAACGGTTATGCCATATCGTTATGTAAAACTTCTCACTTGCTACATATTTTACATATTTTACGTTTGGTCTTTTCAACATTACTTAAACACACAGCAAAACCCAATGGAGATTGCAACATAATAAACATTATTATCTCTTATGCTGACCCATATGGTAGTAGTACAAAAGTATGGATTCCGAATTGCTTTTACGAATATAATGCATCAGAGGGTTATAATTAACGCATGGATCCATAATTATAATTACTTTTAATAAGTAAAAACTTGTTTTGATTTTACCGCTTTAACCACCTTTCTTAACACATATCATTACAATGGATTCTGAAATCTTCATGCGCTGTGCTTGGAGTATTATAGACCAAGAACAACTTAAGTCCTTGCAAAATTTTTTGCCACAAAATTGAAAAAGTCCCACCTGAGATATGTCAAATTTAAAATTCCTGCCACTACACTTCCTGTCATTCCTGCCTGCAAGAAATCTGCCATCCGACTTGTAAGTGTTCTAACTTACTCTTCCCAGTCTGGTAGGGCGGATCATGTTCATTGTTGTTTCAAGAGCGCTGTCTACCTCTTCTTCAGAGTCACTGACACTGTCACTCGCACTAAAAGCTGTCTACCTGTTCGTTTTTAGGAGACTCTGGCATCCTCATTTGAATTAGGTGGCTCATCACTTACGCTTGGAATTCTTTGAAGCATGAAGCCTCTAATGTAAATGAAGGGTGCAAAATAAATAAATCTCTATCCATCTTCGATCCAACTGTACATTGTAAATGAGCAAAATACTCACTCGATTTTCTCTCGATAACTTTTTACAACAGATTCACTTTATTTGAGTAAGGAATTTTGGTCAGCACCTTTATCACTTACCATCACTTTTTGTCGCTTCACTGTAGGCTCAAAATACTCACTGATTATTTTCTTCGTTTGTCAGTCACTGGTCTTTGTTGGATTACAATTATGAACTCGATGGAAGCTTCTTTACATGACCTTCGGCAGGTCTCTTACATTTGTCAAGTTTGAGACTGGATTTTCCACATCTCATACATTCAATTCTTCCGACAGGCCGTCATGTCTTCCTACTGTAACAGAACGGCAATTCTTTTAGCCTTAAATGTGTTTTTGGCAAATTAATATTTCCTTTTGGGTCACTCTCAGATTCATAAGTATTATACTTTTCGCACTTTCCTGTGGAGGTTGAATTTGCGATTAAGTAGATGGCTGTGGGTCGTCTGTTTTTGGCGCAGACGGCGAGTTCTGTCGTAAAACGAATTGGCTAGAAAAAGGTGCATGGACAATTTTCTCACGTTTCTTAACTCCAGGAAATAAGTAATGCCTCGACTGGTCATGATTCCAAACTATCTATCCCATTCCCATTTTTGACATTTCATCCCCTTTCCCAGTGACTCCCAGGGCAAAAACCAGCCAATCCCAATTCCCCTTTTACCTCTTCAGGACCCTCTTTTAGTCAAACATACATGCAGTACCCGTGATCTAAAGTCACCGTTTGAGTTAATGCTTGGGAGACATATTTCCTTGACACAAACCTGTTATCTTACCATTCACAAGTAATTTGACGAGTTCCATAGATCTTCTCGACAAGATAAGATATTTTATGGGTGGTTTTTCGTAACTTTGTTTGTTTTCAGAAATATCTCCATCAAAAAGTTCTTCTTTTATGCCATTTACTATATCGAGTTCTGGTAAGTAGAAAATAACCTTGTTTGCCTTAGAGTTAAATTCAAGAAGGCTTGCGCTTTCAAGTCTACTGGGCTTGAGTGAGGTTTGTTTTCCTGATGTACGCCACGTGAGTTTCTTCATCGAGGTTCCCCTGCGTATCACGTCTTTTATTAAAATAAAACAAAGTAGAAAACTTGAGAGTTTCTCTCAGTTTGGATTCTGCAGGGTCGGCCAGGGTTTTTGGGTATACAGTATACTGGAGTATTTAATCTCAGGTATACAGTATTTTCATGCATAAAATTGGATATAAAGTATCCCCTCACGACCAATTTTGGGTATAAAGTATACCGTGTTTTTCTTAATTTGGGGATTTTACACAAGTTTTAGTATAATTCCTGGTATATTGGAAGGTTTATTTCAGGCATTTTGGTATTCCACTACCCTCCTAGCCGACCCTGATTCTGGATTCTGGATTCCATACCGTAGATTCCTCAAGGCTTTGTCAATGGAACTTGAATTCTGGATTACAATCGTTAGTGGGATCCGGATTCCTTGAGCTGTATTCCGTATTCCAAAGCCCAGGATTCCACATTCCACAAGCAAATGTTTCTCGCGTTCCGGAATCCGGATTCCCTTACATGGGGTGATCTACTGGGCTTGAGTGTGGTTTGTTTTCCTCGTGTAGGCGACGTAAGGAATGTCTTCATCGAGGTCTACCCTATTGTGGCACCTCAGTTGCATTTAAAATTAAGTTGTAAAAACGGAGCTGGAAGATTCCCCCAATAATTTCTTGCTGAACGTGTAAAGAAAAGCAGTGTTTCTTAATGGTGAAATAGTTCAAAAACACTGACTGGGCGAGAGAAACACCAAGCTGGGACAATAATATTCTTTAATTCTTTCCTCTTTACTTTTGTGTTTATTCATTCCAATTACTCCTAGAATGCTACAGTTACGGTTACCTGAATGACTCAGTACGAGGACAAGGCTTCTACAACGGATACTATGGCTATTATCAATGCGATAGTGGCCTTCCATTTGGCTGGTATCGATTTAGTGGGGCAGCAGGATCTCAAATGGCCACTAGTTGTGTTGGTAAAAATCGCTGCAGTTCGCACGCGCCGGGATGGTTAAGTACCCAGCATCCTTCAAAGGATGATGGGATAGTCAGGGGTACAGTGTGCTTCCACTGGGCTAGTAGCTGTTGTCGCTGGTCGACGAACATACGTGTTCGTAACTGTAGCGGATTTTATGTGTATGAGCTTGGACCAGTCCCGACTTGCTGGTTACGTTACTGTGGAAATGGGGGAGGTATGTGGCATCTCGCATCTCTGACGTTATTCGATACTATCATTTAGTCACAGTTTACCGTACACTTTCCAAGAGCCCCACTTATACCCCCCCCCCCCCCCCCCCCCCCCCCCCCCCCCNAAACAAAAACATACATCCAGGTGCAAGCCCCCCTCCAGCTTGTGTTGAAATGAATTCGACTTTTTACGACGTTTTGAAGCTTAAAAAAGCGATCAAATTCAAAAAAAGGATTTTGATCAGCACTGCTATGTAGCTTGCTTTGCAATACTTTTTTTATCCGGGTTATAGATCTCTAGAAATGCATTCTAAGCAGCGCTATAAAATTTGTATACCTTTTCGGTCATCCCAGGGGAACTTGAGTCCTTTCGAAATTACAAGGACTTCAGTATTTTTTTCCCAAAGATTTTGGATGCAATTTGACGTATTACGAAAGTGAGCATTTCTCTGATCCCTTTCTCCGTCACATTTTGAATCCGAAAATTTTTTAATTAGGTTTCCTTTTTTGTACGAAAAATAGCCCAACCTGGGCAGTCAAATGTGAAAAATTAAACTTCAGAAAATCGTATTGAATTTGTAGAAAAAGCTTTGAGAATTGCGCATGAATAGAACGGCCACCTATAAATTTTTTGCCGTTCTCAAGAAATAGAAAATTCTGGGCAATATTTTCTTCTCCGAACAGATATTTTACAAAAAAAAGTCGTTGGGTGCTCCTGCCTCCCGTATCCAATTAAAACAAAGAGATACGTATGAGAGCACTAAAAAACAGGGAGTTTCTTGGTGTTGCGGAAACCATTGTTGGTCAGGCATCACGGTGTTGTGGGCGGTGTTGGTATTGTTCAGTGTAGTGATCACAGCCATCCAAAACTACCTAAAAGTTGTGACGATACTGAGGAGATAATCATCTTTGGATGCAAGAAAGCTTATAGACTTTTACGAGGGAAGTGTTTTACTTTTTTCCCTTCACAGGTAATAACACAAATTCAAGCTCGATTGGATATATCGCCGCTCAAGGTATGGTGTGTCCTTTTATTATAAACAAATTTCGACCATCGTATGGTCTCGCTACGAGGAATTATGCCATCCTTATCACACCTTTTGATTAGTGTCTGACTCGTTGGGTTAGACACATTATGGTTGCGCACTACGGTTTTGAGCAGCGTCAACCTGAAATTCATAGCTTGCGAATACAGCCGTCTCCCCTCGCTTCTCGCCACGTCTGGTGCAGATGTCTTTCCTGCGAAATGTCCCTAGCCGCGAGGAGCGAGGACGGACGGCTGTATTCGCAGGCGATGAAATTCCGCATGGCAATTTATACCGTGCGCAGTTACGCTGGTGTCAGTGCATTACGCATATGTTGATGCTGGAAAAATTTAGCCCTTTTCCCAGTTTTACTGCCCCTGCTCAATCAAATTATCTCTATTGTTTAACGACGTCTTGATGTTTCTCATGATTAATTCAATACAAGCATGAACAACAACAACTTGAAGTTCTAAAACGGCTCTAAATGTGTTAGGAACCTGACATTATGAAGTATTCTCAAATGAGACAATACGAAATTATGCAGTGACATATTTTCTCTGGTACTGCGTTATTTCCATGAGTTGTGTTAATCAATAAAACCTGATAAAACATCTCAGTTAAAACGCAAGTGTTTGATCTCAGATGAACATGTTTGATTTCAGACAAAAACCTGGTAGTATATTTTATCTGATGTTTCGTGAGGTGTCAAGATTTATCCATCTGACCAAAATGGTCGTCATTTATTGGCTTTTGACTTCTTGAATAATTAATCAGTTTGAGAAGACATGTTACATGTAAACACTCGCAGTAATGCAGGAGCTGCCAAAACTCGGGCTTCATGCTTCATCACGGGTTCCAAACACCTGACACAGATGAAAGCACGAGGCCGTAGGCCGAGTGGTTTCATCTCTATCTCAGTGCTTGGGACCCTTGATGAAGCACTCGCCCTCGTGTTTAATGTATTTCATCAGGCCTCTAAACCAGGAACCAATGAAAGAAAGCAGTTGAAAACCAAACTGGAGACATTTTTAGTATAAACTGTTCATTGGCATCAATGAAAGAAATTTGGCAGCATTAAGCTACAAAAAAAATGCCCTTTTGCCGTCACAATACTTGATGCCCAAAACATTAAAAAATAGATGCCCAAAATGATTTTGGCATAATTGTGTCTAGCCCTACTCACTCCTCCCCAGTCTTCTTTCATCAGTTGTAAGCGGGCACGAGACGGTCTCTAAAAACGGCTTTGGTAGCAGACTAGGAACGGTTGAGAGAGACCGCGATTACGGCATCTCAGCAAACCATATTCCACGCGCTTCCCTCGTTCAGTTAAGGGACAAAAAAAGCGAATGGGGACAAGTATCCAGCGGATTTAAAGTAAAGACTAAATACGTAGATAATAGACCACTCTCTGGATTTTATTTTAATGAAATAATAATTCTCTTTTCATCATAAAAAAGGCTTACTTTAAGATGTTGATCTGAGCAACTTAAACAAAGGTGTTTATGTTACTGTTTTCATTTGCAGCAATGACTAAAACAGAGTCGGTATCTACTAGTTCACTTTATGTTTATGGTAAGACTGGCTTGATTTACAGCAATCAAACTGCGTACCTTTTCCATTGCCATGATGAATAATGTATATGTAGAACTTTGTCATGTGCCATGCCTCAGTTTAACTTGATAATTAGCTTAATGTTTAGTCGAGGCAAATGATCTTTGTTCGGAAATGATCCGGCTTTGGTCTCATACATAAAAATGAGCCTTAATCCTTCAAATAGATTTTTTTTGTTTTGTTTTCGACTAGTTTCAGATCAGTTGGAAGTCGAGTAGCAGGACGGGAAAGCCCGGGGTGGGGGTACTGCCATATATGCATATATGGGCTATATAGGTATGTGCCGCTGTGAAGGGTATGGTTTTCAAGCAGTTTACCCTAATAATGAAAGGGGTATATAAATCAGAGTGTTTGGGTCTAGAATAAGGTATCATTTTTCAGGAAATTGATCAGTTGGTTGAAGATTTTATCTAAACTAGGGATTGTGGTATAAGGTTTTGTTTTATTGGCTAGACTGTGCCAGTGACCTCAGTAGTTTCTGGAAAACAGCTGCTCTAGGATAGGGGGGATTTAGGGAGTTTACTCTAGTATAGGGTAGCAAAATTCGGCTGAACTAGCTCTGGTCAAGAGACTATAAAGGGGACAGAGAGGGCATCCCCCATATACACCCTATTCCATAGGTAATTCGTCTCGAGTTATTTTTAGAATCGAGATAAAGTTACCTCGCGCGAGACGTGGATGTTTCGTGAGGTTTCGCATGACCAAACGCCGTGCAAAACATGTCGGGCGAGAGGCAATGAAAGCGTAAAAAGATCGAGAGCATTCCTGAATATTGAAGCGAAATGAGTCGGCGCTCACCTGGGAAAAAGGAATCGCTGGACTCTTTGACAACCCGTGAAATCAGTTTAACTCGAAGTTGTCGTAACCTCAGTGCTTTAATAAAATGAGAAATTTCGCCGGTCTATTGAAACCGGTCGTTTGTACAATTTAGGGAGTTTAAGATCCAACGACGCGGACGACAACTAGAACGTCAAAAAAACAATAGGTTTAATTAGCAAAACAACAACTTCGCACGTGCAACACACTTTTTTGTTCATTTCTTTCCCGTTTTTGCACGACTACGACGTGAAAATGCCTAATTTCGCGTTTTATGGAGGACGTAAATAAGCAACGACGAAATTTTATTTCTCTTTCTGAGCTTGAATATGGTCCCTTGAAATTCAGCTTTAGGAGGGTTCGCCTACAATTGACAAAGTAAGTGGGTAGGAATAATCGCTATAAAGACTGAAAAAAATAAACATCAAACCAGAAATTGCTCTCTTCAAACTGTAAATTATAAATGATCCTGAGAGAATATTCAGTGTGTTAAGGATTTCCCTGCTCTACTGTTAGCTCTATACAAGAGAGGAAGGGCGATTCTTTTTTAATTTCGGTTTCGCTGACACAGCTTTCGCAGAAATCTCGCTGTAGTCGTTTTCGTCGACAAAAGGAATAGCAAAATCGCTCTCCGCGTCTTCCCCCATTTTGTTCTGCGTCATTTCGTGAAGGACGCGTGGCTCTCAGCGTGGGTCATCCACGCGGAACACATTCGCGCTATGTGATTGGCTGTTGTCTAATCCCCCTTGAGATCTGTGGTGTTAAAAATAACTCGAGACGAATTACCTATGGAATAGGGTGTATATGGGGGATGCCCTCTCTGTCCCCTTTATAGTCTCTTGCTCTGGTATAGGTTAACGGTTCCAGGGACCCAGCGGCACATCCCCACCCATAAATTCCTAAAGTACTCCCCTCACCCCCAACCCGGACGGGAAAGATACGGATAGGAAATGTTCACACCCTTTGCTAATCTTTTAAGATCGAATATTTTTATACGGAAATTAACATCCAATTCGTTTTTATGCAGCTGGCCAAATTGCTCCATCTTCATCGTCTGAGTATTATGCACCATCTAGTTCGTATGCGCTTCCACCTCCTTTGGACTTCCAGTTTCATGTGCCAGCGGATTGTGATCAAATCTGCACCAACACTCAAGGCAGCTATAGCTGTTCTTGTGTCAGTGGTTATCGACTGTCTTCCGATGGAAAATCCTGTTTAGGTGAGGTCCCACTTTAAAAATGGAAGTGCTCAAATCATCTGAGATAGTTGAAAGAACCAAACCTTTCAAAGAGTTCAAAGATACAAACCTTTGCTTACACAACTTGAATTCACAAAATAGTTGTCCACGAATAAAACACTAGGTTTCTACTTCTTGTACATTTTGGCTGGTACTTAAATTTAACTGTCAGCTTGAAGCATTTATGGCTTTTTTGGTTGAGATTTGGTTTGACATTAAACGTACTCTTCATAGATATTGACGAATGTTCTACGAACAATGGTGGCTGTAGCCATCATTGCTACAATATTCCTGGATCATTTTATTGTGGATGCCCGGAAGGTACAACAATGGCCAGCAATAATTTGACTTGTGTTGGTAAGTTTGGTGGCGTTTCATAACGTGCAAATTAATAGGCCATTTGCAAGATGAGATCATTTTACTACTACGACCAGAATCCTTCAGGATTTTGCTTTCTTGTGTAAATTAGCGCTTTTGTTAATTAAACCTCACTGGAATTACTAAATCTGAGTGTGAAAGGAAAAACGTAATGGATTTTATTCGAAGTAGTAAAATTGTCGCCATGTTCAGGCCAAATTTTTAATTAAAAAAAGTGCAAACTAGCGTATTCTGCGAAGATATTTTCTGCAACGAGATTTATCTTGATGGCTTGTTCATTTTAGAACCCGGCGTTTCAGTTGTATGTGACGAGAACAACATGACCATTTCTTTGGAGAAGCAAACATTTCCATTTTTGAACGTCAGCAGTTTACATCTACGTTATGTTTCATGCAGGTAGTGTATAATTTTGGTACTGAATACTTAGAGCTCATGAGTCGGTTTCTAAAAGGCTGATTAGCGCTTATCCGGGATTAAAATTTTTGTTCCGTATTTTACCTTGCTATGTATTGCTTAGAATAACATTTTGTGTTATCATTACTCAGTACCTCGGATCCGGAGTAAAGGCTAATCAATATTTTGTAAGGTCGAGTAGCATGTTCTTAGACGAAAAACATGGCTTAAAATTTGGCTAAATCCTGGGTTAAACTTAATCATCTTTTAAGGAACTGGGCCAAACACTGAATGAACCGCCACCCGCACAGTTCAGTTGGGCGAGCGCCTGTCTGCCGGGCGGCAGGTCGTTGGTTCCTTTGACCAACTACGAGAGTCTTTTAGAACACTGGTGGTAAGATCACGCTGCCTGTGAATATAGTAGATCTTGTCTCTGTTCAGATGTTCGCGTCATAAGATGTGACGGTTAGCCTTGTCTCCTTCATTCTTCTTTCATTGATCAAATCATATTAAGGGGTCATAAATGACCCACACTAGTCTCATGTTGGAAAGAATAGAGATTTTTTCCTGGTGGTATGGTCAAGGTGTGGTCAACCTTCATATCATGAGCTGGGTGGGTTACAGTAGAGAGCTTGAGCTACTGCGACGGCGACGGCTACGAAAACGTCGCTTAAAAAGTGAATTCGCGCTTATTCTATCTCGTTTAGTTCGTCGACCGGAAGCAAGCCCCTTTCTCTTTTAATTGCCATAATGCTTCCAAATTTGTATTGGTAAGCGTTAACAGTCTNAGAGATTTTTTCCTGGTGGTATGGTCAAGGTGTGGTCAACCTTCATATCATGAGCTGGGTGGGTTACAGTAGAGAGCTTGAGCTACTGCGACGGCGACGGCTACGAAAACGTCGCTTAAAAAGTGAATTCGCGCTTATTCTATCTCGTTTAGTTCGTCGACCGGAAGCAAGCCCCTTTCTCTTTTAATTGCCATAATGCTTCCAAATTTGTATTGGTAAGCGTTAACAGTCTGATAAAGACGATTTGACCGAAACAATTTACAATTTGAAGAAATAGCACAACATTTTTCAATTTACAAGACTTATGCCATCTTCAGTTGTGGAAGGTCGTTACAATTTGAATATACTAATTACAACGATTTTAATAAAAGCTAAATATGACAAAAGAACAACGAGGAGACAAAAAGAAACAGCAAAAATAACAGCTCAGCTTTCATGGAAAATGACAGGTTTACATGTTTAACCTGTTTATTTAGAATAGGTTTCTCCCACTCTTAGGCGTAAGGGCCGGGGGGGGGCAAGGGGGGCTGCAGTCCCCCCCAGATTTTGGGCAACTCAGATTTTTTGGACACCGAAAGAAAATTTGAGCAAAGCAAGTTTTTAAAGACGTCTCCATGGTTATTTAATTATTTTATTTTAATTATTTTTATCTGTTGGCGATAACAGAAACTTGGCTAGACTTGAATAATCAACAGACGGCGAACATTATAAATGAACTCTGTCCTTTGGGGTTTGCGTTTATGCATATTCCTCGAATGAATAATTGTGGTGGTGGTGTGGGCAAAATCACGGCCCAAAAATGAAAACAGTCCACTTCCAGTTGACGTGCATCGCTCAAAAACGTCTTTGTTTAAGCTTACTAATATGGTATACTGACGTCCGAGCTTACTGTTAACATACCGTAAATCCCCTATCAAGCTCCCTCTCTCTAATAAGCCCCCCTACCGTCCCCCTTATTATTATTATTCACTAATAAACGATAGGCTGTTTTAATCAATCAAAACTGTAAAACTTCATTGGGACTGATCCAATATGGTTTATTAACCATCTGGAAGTTAGGATTTGTTTTTGATCTTCAGCTGCATGACCTAGAGCTGCACAACTTCTTGTACTTGAGCTTTTCCACTTTGTATTCTAGTTCGTTATGGAGAACTGATACTAAATTAAATAAGCACCCCTATCTCTATTAAGCCCTCCCCCCCCCTACCTCAAATGTGTTTGAAATTAATAAGCCCCCTGGGAGCTTAATAGAGGATTTACGTTAAGTACGATGAGTATGATCGTCCAGGTGAACGTAGTCCTGAATTGGACTGTTGGTCATGACACTGACTGACGTTTCGACAACCTATGCGGTAGTCATTTTCAGAGTTAAAGTAAGTTGTATCAGATTAGTTGATGGGATCAAATTCTGGTTATTGTCCTGATTGGTGAATTAAGTCGCGATGTCATTGGTCATCTGTCAGTTATGCCGTGAAGTTATTGGCTATTAAGACTCCTAATGTCATTGTTGCGTTTCGATCCTTCTGTTGTCACAGTTTAATCGTTGCGTAGCCATATCGTCGGTTGTCCTGTCATTCTCTAATGTTTCCTTGTAGTTAGTTTTGCTTGAGTCCGTCATGAGTCATTTTTACGGTGCAGGTAACAGTTAACTAGGATTCAGTGAACTTTGTTTTAAGTTAGTAAACCAGTGAATCGTTGAAAGTAGTCTGTAGAATACGTAATCATGACATGTCGCAGAGTTCCCGTCGATTTGATGTCTCGTCTGTAAATGAGCAATGTGATTGTTGACGTCATCATTTCTTGTCGCTCGTTAGGCTAGCTAACAAGTCAGTTTTCAATCCGTTTTTATCTTCTTCAAGTTTTTCCATGTCTGCTGTTTGTATTTGCGCTGTTCATTTTAATACCCAGTCATTACACAAATAAACAATACAATAATAAAAGCTTTATCCAATTCTATGTTTACATTTTATTTATTTTGTTTCTTCTTCTTGTCTTTAGAGCTACAGAGAATTCTACACACGTCTTACTCAGCACCCCTTTAAATTCCTGCGGAACACTGGTGAATGAAACAAAAGACGCATTAATCTTCTGGAATGAAGTCCGAGCAGATTCTGTGATTATTGACAATGTCATCAGTCGGACACACGATATCAAATTTAAATTTTACTGCAGCTATTCCAGAAAGAAGATGCTAAGCATTCAATTTCAACCCAAGCATATTTTCATTGGATCAGAAGGTTCTTTAATTATGCTTTATTAATTTTTTTTCTTCCAACGAGAAATATTGAAATTGAAATTTTAGACACACTTTTTTCCCTCCATTTCAGTTCAAGAACAATTTTAAACCTTCACGTACAAGTCATTAAGCTTACGGTCAGGAGCCGATTACTTGGAGCCTCCATCTCCCGTATAAGCCCTTGGAGTCAACCCTTTCCGACGAAAAATTATTTATAGAAATAGCTTTCGCGGAATATTTTTCACGCCTTCTCAGTAATATCCAATCAGAGCAGAGCTATGATCATACGTCACACTCTGAGTCAGAGAAGCGGGATTTGAATTGCTGCCAACAGTGGCGGTAGCTCCCACGTGGAAGAGTTATCTGATGATAGTTCTGATCTTCTATCGGGTTAAAAATACCCGCTTAGAGCCTAATAACAAAAAGAAAAAGGCGATACACTCATGCGACGTCTTCAAGTTTACTTGTAATCTTGACAGTTGGCTGCATATCATAAGTTTTATCAAGAACAACCCAGTCCCGGCCCTAGACAGCGGGTAAATAAATATTGAAAAATCAAGCTCTTTAGTTACTTTACTTTACTGGTTAACTCACTTGTGCAATGCTTTGGAGCTTTTACTAATTCCACAAAGGACCACACTGCATCATTCCACAGTTAATTTTGAAGTGAAAAGTATGTTGTTCCAACTGTGTTACATATCGAACACGGACTGCATCTTTCGCTTGTGCGGCGCCAGAGTGTAATTGTGCGAGATCTGAGGTCGCGAATTATGAACGGACTTTTATAAGCCAAATCAACGTGGCTGTGGATGAAAATGACTTTTGGTAACATACAATCTCAACGGCAAATATTTCAAGTGGGCATATCAAACAAAACAAACGAGATGTTCAACAGGAATGAGATCGAATTAAAAGCGAAATTAACTGTTGTGTACCTAACATACTGAGGGTTTCATTCACACAATACAACAACTGTCGATACAGAATCTACTGAGCCTGGTATTTTCTCTTGCTACTAAGAAACTAAGCAACGTGTAAACAAGGAAAATAACAGGCAGTCATAAAATTAAAAAAGGAGCGAGCCGATTGGGCTAGCGACTTCAAAAGATTAAAATCCTTGAATGAAAGATAGGTTCTCAAAGGTTTCACAGCGGAAGTTATATGTTTCGGCATGTCACGTCCTCCTGTATATTTCTTTTGCGGTTATTTGAGGTCTACAAGTATATGCTGCGGCCATGAAATCTTGTAGCATCTTGAGAAATAGTGTGATTGCCAAACAGTGTTTAATTTCTTCCTGAGTTTGATAATTCTGCACTCAAAGGGTTTTTGTAGCTTTCATGTCTTGCGGCAATGAAATAATAACTTATATAGCACCATCAAAATGAATTAAAATCCGGACAACATAAACCGATACCTTTCTTCACTTCGACGTTTTGCTTCTTTAAAAGAAATCCTACAAAATCATGAGAAAACATCTTGATTTTTGCTGTCCCAGGTTGCGGGTGGATAAGACACAGAAGACACGACAGTTTCTACTTACAAAGGCCGCGGAAGGCGCAAAATTGCCTCCGATTTGCCGGTTCCATACAGAGCTTACCGTAAGCGCTCCAATTCCCTATTAAAAAGTCTGGCTCTCCAACAAAGAGTTTCACTTTTTACTACTTTGAAAAGTTCCTTTTAAATAAGGGCGATGGAATACAACATTACGACCAAAATTTAAACATCCGAACAGTGCTACAACAGCAAATACTACCTCGTGCGTTGCAACAAAATATAGCAATATTTTTAAGCCAGATTACATATTATTTATATGAACTCGAAACCAGCCTTCCTCGGTTGTAAGGGAAGGAACGGAGGCAGGAGCTACGGTGATGGAATAAGGAGTAAACTTGTTGGCCAATTTCCCTCTTTCGCCGCCATTTTTTTCTCACTACAGAAATATGCGGACGTCCTCGAAAACAATAAATTGAAATTAACTTCGCGGGAAAGCCTGTTCTAAAAATAATTCTTTATCGGAAAGGGTTGACTCAAGGGTACAGCACGTATGGAGGCTCCAAGTAATCGGGTCGCTTGATCAGTCTTTTAGTCAGCTCAATCCCCTGTAAAAGGATAATTTAATTCTATTCCGGCACCGTCATAAGTCTACCCTGAAGTCCTCAGATCATTGAACTTACCTGAGACAAAACCCACGTCTTTCCCTTCACAAAGATGAAAATATTCGACCGCGCCTTTAAACAACAAGAGAATAGGGCCACGTTGACCATGCCCAGAAAACTGTAGATGTCCAAAGGATTTTTGATGGAGTTTCTATTTCTAAACCAAAAAGAAGGCTAATCTTAATTATATTTTGCTTCCTTCTTAGCTGGATATGGGAATTTCACTTTCAAAATGGACTTTTACAAAACTGCAGCATTTGCCACTCCCTATACAGAGAACGACTACCCAATATCAGTGGCGTTGAATGAATATCTTTACGTAAAGTACAGTGTGGAGTCCAGCGCCAACCTGGTAATCATGGCCGAAAACTGCAAAGCCACAAAAAAAGGAAGTTTCTATTCCTGGCCTTACTATACCATTATACAGAATGGGTGAGTATAACATACATTCATGATCTAGGCTAAAAGTCTTGCCTCATTTTCCTCGGGGAAAATTAAGAGGGCGAGGTAGGCTTGAAAATTGCCTCGCGCGGAAGAGGCGAGGCGCGTGTCACAGGTTGGGGATTTTCACGAGCGCTCACATATTTCGCTTAACCTAGTTACTTAACCGCTGAGGAAAAGAAGGGAATACCCGTAGTTTATTCCTGAATAAGAAGAAAGGAAAACGTCTGTTCGAATGAGTTTATATTTCCATAATTTTATCATCTCCATTCACCTTGACTCTTGGGCAAGATTTACGTCGTTTTCCCCAGGTCTTGCTGTTCCTCCAGTATTGCCTGTATTGCGGGCTCGATTCCCTGAACTGCCCCTGGCCTGGTAATCGAGCTCATACTTGATCATCACTTAAAGGGCTTATGAAGTTTGATATCGTATCATCATTAACAACTGCTAGCTCTTATTTACGAGAACTGTGCTTCAGCGCAGCACTAGACTAGCCTTTGCGACGGAGTTAATTTTCATCTTCAAGTAGAGCTTAATCTTGATGGGATAATTTTGAGAAGAGGAACGCCCAGAAACATCCATAGTATAAAACTAAAACACGTTTCTGTTTTTAAACATTACACACTAGTTGCGAGCGAGATACAACTATGGAGTACACGTTTAATCCATCAGGGAGTTCTCAGAAGTTTAAAATTAGAACGTTCAGGTTCTTCAACGACTATAACGTTGTTTACTTCCACTGCGAGTTGTTGGCTTGTTACAGATACAATTTTAATTCCAGGTATGTCTATAGTCAACCCTCCCTGTTACTCCGAAGGAGCAATACTTAATCTGCGAACACCGAATTGAATGATATTCTTATTCCATTCCTGCTTTTTATTGCAATGCAATAAAATCGCAATTTCAACTGAAATGTTCTTGCTGTAATTAGCATATGTTAAAGCTCATAAGCATGGTACACAGGCAACTACATTTGCAAGGCCCTTTAATAGCTACAAGTAAAATGTTAATCGAAATAACATATTAGCTTGAAAAGACTGGGGATCTCCACTCTTTATGATAGTTTCACGACGGTTGCTTCAGTCCTACATGTATTGCCGCAAGTGAGATTTGCACCATATCAGAAATGCTAACGGCTCTGGTGATCTAAAATCTGGATACTCTCTATTTACCAATTATTCCACGAGTGCGCCTTAGACATGAGATGGTAGATGACCAACAAGCGCGAGTGGAACAATTGTTCAGTTTATTAAACATCCGCAAAATATCGAGAATTCTTCTCTACTATATTTGTAAAACCCACCAATTTTGAGCTTGTTTTTAATTTTGAACAGACGTGTAAAGTTGCCATATTTGGAGATCGAGGTATAATGGCTCGTATACATGTATACTATGATGGCTAAGCCAATCAGAGCTCTAGAATTGCATTATCCAATGATTCAGTTTTTAACATTTTGCATTATCCCCGGCCCAGTATCATTATCCCAAAAAAACCGTCTTACGAATAAAAAAATCGAATTTTAGGGGTGAATGGGCTAAACTCCAAACTAGAGCATAGAAAAGCTCAAATGTCGATTTTATCCGGGAGATTGATGCCGTATCCGGGAGACCCCAGAAAATCCTGGAGAGTTGGCACAATAATCATGCAATATGAAAGCGGTTGAACAAAAGCAAAGTAAGACACTTTGTAAACCAAAGGTTTTGTTTACAGATGCAGCAGGGATTGTTTAAGTAGCAAAAGGAGAAAGAAACGGGACGCAGTTGAGGAGGAAAGTACAAGCAGACATATTCTCTCCAGCGGCCCAATTATCATCAAGAAGACGGGGACGAAGATAGAAAAACGTGACGCAGAAGGTAGGCCGCACAGATAACTGAGGGCGTGCTCGATGGACCGTATCCTGGACTAAGAACTGAATGGAATAGACTCTAGAGATCACTTATTTTGGCTTTCATTGCATTCTTAATTAAATAGGATTTGATAGATTGTGCTCGGAAAAGTAACTGTGCTCGTATATTTCTAAAATTATGCCAATAATTATGCTAGTTTTTGTAAATTATGCACTTTTTTGCAAAGTATGCAGAAATTATGCCTCGATTTTTTAACTTTTAATTTGTTAAAAAATACCCTAATAACTATGCAACAAACAAGTAAAAGGTAAACACATTTACTTTCTTTACACCCAGAAACATCACGAGATACATAACTCATTTTCTAAAAACTATTAAAAGTCCCAAACCAGTCCTAGGGGAGTTGAACACTTTTCTGTTTTGTCGCAGGAATTTGCATAATTGCTGGCCACTTCAGTGAATACATACACACTCTATATCCGTCTTTCACTTATAATAGCTTTCCCTTCTCTTTCCTGTTACCTTAAGACTTGTCTAACTATGGAGGTTTATTTTTTTCCTTTGTGATAGATACTGGGAAAAGCCAACAAACTGCTTTGATTGGTGGTGCAGCGGCCGTGGGGGGACTGGCCCTGATTGCTATAATAGCCTTGGCTGTTTTAGCTGCTAAATACCGCATTGCGCGAATATTCATGAACAGGAACAAGGTCGGAGACTTGTACACTACCCAAGATGAACAGATGAGTCGACGAAATGCCTACATCCAAGAAGATGACATGATCGAAAAGGAAGACTCCTTTTAAATTGCATCCTTACGTTGAACACTTATCTCGTACCCAGATCCCTTGTCGACAAGACATCTGGGTACGAGATTAGTTGAGCACATAACAAGTCCCGGGGAACTCCCATATAAACGTGACGGGGGTGCTCGTCGCAAAATTAAAATTAAACCTCTAAGTGAGATTAATGTGGCTGTGGCTAAAAATTAAACTGGCCCCTAATGGAGACCATGCTGAAAATGATACCTGAATGGGCAAATATGGTGACTTTCCGTCCCAAAAACCCGAAGCGAGACCTAACGCTACAATTTAAATCCCTTAGTAAGCGAGACGGCAAGGATCCCCGTTACTTTCATAATTATAATCCCTCCCGGGCATAAGTGATGCAATAGTAGATAAAAATGATTCTTTGATTCTTGTTTTCAGAAGACAATAGCGCATAGTCAACTAATTAACTTCCTTCAGAATACGATTAACATAAGGAGAAGAGCTAAGTGTCCCCAAATTACGCGGACATATCCATACAAGAGATCGAGGCAAGAGTTTTAAGAAGCCGCTTTTTATTATACTACTTATACTCGAACCTTGACAAATGGCTGTCTGTACCACAGCTCTAGATATCATGTGGACACAGTGGAGGTTCTGCTATGATCACTGAGTTCATATTTATAGTGTAGTAGGTTTTAAGATCGGGGTAGGATGCAGTTGAATCCGGAGTCAGAACTTATATTGCAGCTTAAGTCAAGTTCATAGTTTTATTTACTTATATTTACTTAAGCTGTTGTTTTATGACGCTCTTTAAAGTTTTACCTTACTCAATGGATGCCTGGCCTGGGAAAAACAGGAACTCCCCAGCAAATAAAGCCATTTAGCGTGCCAAACCCAAGCAGCTACAACCACTACACCGTAAGAAAATGCGTTTTCTTTCGCAATGCATGCTGATCGCTCCCCAGTATGGCTGAAAGTGTAACAAGCGTAAGCACCAATAGGAACCTTCAGTGTGAAGTAGATAGTTTCCATTTTCTTTCCGCGAGGTCTTGTGTCGTTATTTGACACTGTTAAGATCTCTCAAGAGATGGGAAACGGGATAGAGAGAAACTTTTAGGGCGTCAACCAGGATGTGCAAATTTTACTCAAGTTATTTTTAGTGGGTTTGAAACGCCATCAAGGCCTTGCGCAACTACCTCAAGCAAACAATGCAGAATGTTGTAATGGCGACTGTTCAGTTCTCTCGACAACATTGAAAAAAGGTTTGCGGACCTCTCCGGAAACCAATTTCCGATTTCTTCAAAACGTTTAATCGGTCTAAGAATAGCTTTGGTGAAATTCACCTATCGCGGGCTTGACTGGGCGTTTCCCGCTCTGTTCCATTATTCTCTCTCGTGCATCTATGTTACTTTTATAAAACCTAAACGTTTTCATTACTGACTTTTAGTAACTGCGTGTAAACTGTCTCTAGGAAATGTTTATCAAGTGCAGTGTAATAGTTTTTAATTAGACGCCTGTATTCATGCTATTTGATCAGCGGTCATTATTTTCATTGCTTCGTCGGCCGGGCGTGGCCAGCGGTAGTAGTAAGATTCCAGTAGCGCATAAGAGCCTTGAAAAGCCAATAAAATGTTTTTTGTATCATTGCTTATCTACATTTTTTGGTACTAAGTGTGATAACCCAGGCAGGTTCGTTTAGGACTTCGTCGCTCAAGATATCTGCACAGGGGGATGCAAATTCTGTGACCGTACGCTTTGGGACGAACGGGAGTATCGAAAAACTTCACATAATCGTTACATACATGTACTGCCACGAATGCTCACATACAGACCAATATAATCGTTTTTTATCTGTAATGTTGTGTATTGTCGTTCTTGCAGCTGAAAACGGGGAATTTTTAACGAGCGATTTGAAAGGTGTACGTTCGACCCTTAGCTAAACGAAAAAACAAAGCATTTCTTTACGTGAAGTACAGTGTGGAGTCAAGCGCTAGCAATCAGCTAGTGATAATGGCCGAAAACTGCAAAGCCACAAGATATGCAAGTTTCTACTCTTGGCCTTATTATACCATTATACAGAATGGGTGAGTGTAACATATGTCTAGGATTTAGGTTTCAAGTATTCCCTCATTTTCCACAGGGGAAGTTGAGCGAGCGAAATACGAGAGTCCTTGTGAAATTGCCACGCGCGGGAGAAGCGAGACACGTTGCACCTGTCTTGCGGTTGGTGATTTTGACGCGCTCTCGCATATTTCGCTCGCTCTTATCGTCACTAAGGAAGTACCTGTGGTCTATTTCCGTATCGTCTTCGTGTTGATCCTTACGCATGATGTACGTCGTTTTTCCTTGTATTTGATCCCCAATGATTGCGGGCCGCATTTTCCTGAACAGCGACAGGAAATCGAACCTCCTTAATCGTTTACAGGGCTCAGAAGTTTGATATCATCATAGAAGCGACGACCGGAAATACGTCTGCGCTTCGCAGGCTACATTCGCAACTGCTATAGTAACAAAAATTGTGCTTCAGCGCTGAACTAGACTAGCCTTTGCGACGGAGTTAATCTTCATCGTTGTTTATACTCTTGATGGGGGGATAAGTTTGAGCGGATGAACCCCCAGAAAAATCCATAGCATTAAAACTAAAATACATTAATTTATTTTTTATTTACATTTTACACTAGTTGCGAGCGAGATACAACTATGAAGTACACGTATAATCCATTAGCGAGCTCCCAGAAGCTTAAAATTAGATCGTTCAGGTTCTTTAACGACTATGACGTTGTTTACTTTCACTGCGAGTTGTTGGCTTGTTACAAAGGCAATTCTAATTCCAGGTAAGTCTATTGTAAACCCTCCATGTTACACCGAAGAAGAGGCAGTTCTAAACCGCAGAAAACCGAATAAAACTCTACCGTAATTCCATTCTTGTTTTTTATTGCAATGTTCTGGCTGTATTTAGCATCTTAGAGGTCATAAGCTTGGTAAACAGGCAACTGTAATGACAAGACCCTTATTACCAAGAAGTTATAAAATAGAACGAACGAACATATCTTAAAAAGACACGGGGCGCTTACCATTTACAAAAACCACCCAAGTGGAAATCTTGTGCATAAACATAAAACTATAAAACTTGACGTGGTGGGAGAACTACCCGCTACAAAGTAAATCAAAATCAACTGAACTGACTTAAAAGAGTAGAAAAATTGCATCGCCTCAAATCACAGCCCACATTTTCTGAAGGTTTTCAAACGGAATGGCGCGAATTGACCATTTCATTTTCCAACCAGAATTTTCGGTTTTCCCATAAAAATGGTAAGTACCCAGGATCTCCACTCTCTAAAGGACGGATAGTTTCATGGTAGCAAAATTTCGGGAGACAAATTAGATGTATAATGGAAGATGTACAAGTGGCGAGTATGCGTAGATATGACTGAAGCTGAAAAAAAAATTCGATGATTTATAAACCGAAGGTTTTTGTTTATAGATGCAGCAGGGGTTGTTTGAGCAGCAAAAGAAGAAAGAGACGAGGCGCAGTTGATGACGAAATAGAACACGAGGAAAGTACTAGCACACATATTCTCTCCAGCGGCCCAATAATGATCAAGGAGACGGAGACGGAGAAGGAAGAACGTGATGAAGGAGGTATGACGTATGGACAACTAAATATGCTGACAGTAGTTTTAAGTGAAAGGAGAGAGGGTTGCCAACAAATTCCAAATTCAAAGTTTCCCACTAGCCCACTTTATAGTTACAGGTGGAAACGAGGCTGGAGGTGACAGTCAGGAGTGCCTTTTTTGTATCAAAACAAGTTAAGGTCAAGCTCACGTTTACTCAAAGGCTAGGATGCTAAGCGCAAAACCTGTAAATTGGCAGGAGCCCATAACCCAGAGCGACTTAAAAGATGTTCTATAATTCGCACCAAAATCATTCTAAAAATAAACTTATCGGTAAAAACGCCATGACACCAGGATATGGACTTCTGTTGGCCAAGTGCCAAGTGGAGGTAGGCTGCGGTTGCTTGTTACGTTTCTCTTTTATGAACAGAAACTGTAGGCCGCAAGGATTAATAAAAGCTAAGCATACAGAGAAAATAAACGGTCATTATTCTTGGAACATATCTTTAGAAGAAGCATTTGAGATTTGCCGGAGCTCGTTCTCAGAAGAACACAAAACTTAACCATAATTGACCAGGAGAAACATAAGATCGAACAAATTTACATTTGGAACCCTATGACTACATGATTTGCTACGTTAACACTTATTTACATCATCAGTATGGAATTTTTGTCGCTGAGGCGCAGACGTCCCTCCTGTCGAAACGACCTTAGCGGCGGGGAGCGAGGAGAGGCGGCTGTTTTCCCTACTTGTCTGTTTTATCACAGAAAATTTGGAATCAGCATACGTTTCTGGGAATCTGCCCACCTACCCCTCCCCTAAACCAACATTTTGCCTTAAGTGAGAATTAAGTGTTAATGTTTGTTAAGGGGAGGGGTAGGCGGGAATGTGCATAGCTGCTACGCTTTATAGTTTTTTCCTTCTCTTTCATATTGGTTTTAGACTTATCTACTAATCGAAGTTTATTTTTTCCTTTGTGGTAGATACTGGAAAAAGCCAACAAACTGCTTTGATTGGTGGTGCAGCGGCCGCGGGAGGACTGTCCCTAATTGTTATCATAGCCTTGGCTGTTTTAGCCGTTAAGTACCGCATTGCACGAAGATTCATGAACAGGAACAAGGTCGGAGACTTGTACACTACCCAAGATGAACAGATGAGCCGAAGAAATGCCTACATCCAAGAGGACGACATGATCGAAAGGGAAGACTCCTTCTAAAATGAATCCTTACGTTGAACACTTATCTCGTACCCAGATCCTTTCAAGCGATCTGGGTGTCTGTCGCTGAACACGCACTAGTACTCTTATAACTTTTTGAAGTGTCTTCTTAAACAATTAGTGATGTAATAGTCGATAAAACTAATATTTTGATTGTTTTCACTTAATATGTCGAACGTTAGCGCATATTCACGCTACTTTTCTAAGTACAGTCATTTTATTAACCTTCTTTAGCAGAGAACAGACCTAAAACGCTCAGACATATGCATACACGATAGGCAGAAGTTGTCAGAAGTTCTTGACTAGCTATTTGACTCAAACCAATAGAATCATCCTTGATAAACGGCTGTCCATACCACAGCTCTAGATATAAATTATCCTAATGTCGAGTTTCCACTGTGTTAACTGTGTTCACATTTAAAGAAAGGTTGCCAGTGACGAATCCAGAAGCCGAGCTCGTTAAGCGTCTTGAAAGTTGTCGAAGTTTCTTTCATCTTGCAGGTTAAGTCAAAGTCCTTAGAGAAGCGCAATTCATTGAAAATATTTATTTTAAGTTTTTATATATTTCATCAAGCACTTTAAAATTTTAACTCACTCACTGAATGCGTGGATCGCGGCTGGCTAGGCAACATTAATTTTTGCAACATTAATTAGCATCTAAATAACGCAGTAGAATGCCAAAAGTTGCAACTCCTTAGCAGTTTAACCATTTAGCTTGCCAGATCCCAACAGTTAGTCACTACACCATACGAAAACGTTTTCGGTCACAGCCGGTGAATGCTGCCTGCCTCTCCAGTATAGCTTTAAGTGTCAAGTTTATTTTCGCTACGCATAGGCTAAAGTTGTGGCACTGTATTTTGTTTACTGTTGTCATGGTGATATCCATTTTACTAAAAACTGCATTTTGACAAACTTAAATTCATGGTCCGTCTGTAGCGAAAATCTTATAGCGAACGAAAACGAAAAAATCATGTTTAAGGTGAC